ATTGGTAATGTCTGACTGGGCCTCGTGTCACTTTATGTTCAACAAATTGGGCCCTGAGGTCAAAAAGGTTAAGAACCCCTGATCTACCCTATTTTATTTTATATGTTAAGATTTACAAGAGAAAACTAAGTAAATCTTACCACCATTAAGCCAAAATACGATGTCCAGTATTGTTCCTGAAGGGTCACCGTCATGCATGTTTTAAAGGTTTCTCTGCTCCAACACATTTTATTTGAACGAATGGGGAATTAACAGGATTCTGCAGAACCTGAAGAGGTAATTCAATCACTGAATCAGCTGTGATGGAGCAGGACGGTGGCCCTCCAGGACCAGGTTTGGACACCCCTGGTTGGACGAACCACTGATAATAAATACTCCAACATTGTTTTTGTTTATCAAACTGCTTCCTTTCTGCCAGCTGACAGGTGTAGTAACAGGGTTTGAACACACCAGAGGAGGGGGGCGCTGTTTACTGCAAGTTCTCCCATCATCTTCAGGGAAATTACCCTATTTCTGCTCAAATCCCAGGCTGATTTCTGACACAAACAATAGCAGTGGACAGTTTCGTTTTGAAGCAAACTTAGTATTGAAATATTGAGGACAAAAATTGATATTTTTTCTACTCCTAAATGCAATGGAGACATGTTTTAATTAAAAGGAATAAAAACAGATTTATTTGGCAAGATTTATTCCAATAGGCTTAGGTTCTTATTTGTTACAAACAGCTCATATCAGCACATTATTCTGTAAGAAAAACATCCCATAAATTAAACTGGATGTTTATTAGAACTCGCTGCTAATTAAATGAGTCTATATCACCACATAAAGCTAAAAGCAGAATAAATCACATCTCATTATGTGAGTCAGTGATGAAACCATGGAAGATGCTGAATATTTGGATTAAGGTCTAATAAGAAGGATATTAGGGGTTAAAAACACCAATAATTTAAATATTCTCTTCAGATTCTTCATATTTAATAACGGAGACTTGGGGAAAATATAAGAAAATAAAACAAATGAAAGATTAATACAGAAATAGACCATTAAACTGCTCCCCTTCCTTTCTGCTGTGGTAGCGCTTTAAACGAGCCGAGCCCAAAACCGGGCCCATCAGAACCCCGCTCCGGTACCTTRTTGTTGCTGTCTCTCGTCAGAGACTCGGACCGGTTCTGTCCCATGGTCCCCTGCTGCGGTGACATGCTGTCCATCAAGGCTGTGCAGATCCACGGGATCGGAATATTCCCATCATCTGACACTTTATTCCACAGGGATTATCCGGTGCAGAGGACTGAGTCCATGCTGGAGAAGAACCGAACCGAACCGAACCGAACCGAACCGAAACAAGGGAATGAAAACGCAACACGTCCGCAGAGATCCTGACTCAATCTGAGCGCTCAGACCAGGTCCTGCTGAGCTCGTTCACCAGTTAAAGTCAGCGGAAGTGAGACCAACTGCTTCCGCTTTAGTTTTTCAAAATAAAACTGTTCATGTTGTCGGTGTGTGACGCAAAGAACCTCTGATAAATCTGTAACCAATATTGGTTTTACTGAAAATCACTGTTGTATAAAGTACCACAAAGTGATACTTGAGTAAAAGTACAGGTATTTTACCAAAAACTTACTTTGGTAAAAGTTAAAGTCTCCTTTAGGAATATTACTT